CATCTTCAAAAAAACTTCTGCCCATGTCACCAGAGGGGCTCCGTAAAAACCTTGATATGTGCTTGAGAATGGCTTAGTCTCCGGTTAAACCCAGGTTTAAAGCCTTGCAGGGCAGCCTAAAGCCCACTGCCAACATTAAGACAGAAAAAAGAAAGAAAATAACAAACCATCAGTTCAGGGGTTTGAGAAAATATGGGAAAATATGGGAATCAGGAAATTATCTATAAACCAAACCGAAATGTTGTTGTTCTCTACTTAAATACTTTTGATTATAAAAGGTAAAAAAATATATTTTTTTATATTTTCTACTTAAAAAGTCAATGTATAACATGGATCCATAAACGCCTCATTTTATTTCAGTGTTAAATTCTGTTTAAAGTAACAGATTAGAATTAAAAACGTCTCCTTTACTGGTTGATTTTCTTTTTTCTGACCTCGCTGGTTTTTAACTGGTTACCTCTGGCCTAACAGATCATTAGACTCTGGTTGAAGTTGAGCCAGGTTTCGTATATCCAGGCGGTTTCTGGATGTTTTTTGGGCTGGAAAACGTGAGTCAGTGACGTCTGGCCGCACTGCTGATGCGGTGAGTGAGGACGTTACGGCGTCCGTGTTTATAACCAACGCCAGTAAAACCGCTTTATAGAAGTGTTGTTGATGGTTGTCCTGCGATTGTGAAAATTGATCCACAACCGTTGTTTGACTGGGTGAAATTCGTTCGCCGTCCTCGCCTGATGAGGCCTAACTGATGCTGATTGGCTCAGAGCAGAACTTCCAGAAAGTTCTGCGTCTGTCCCGCCTTCTCCTCCCTGTGGGAAGGACCTGGACCTCCTGAGCTGGAGAACCGGCAGCTCTCCAGGGTTCTAGAAGAACCTGATTAAAATGGCTGCCACAGCTCCTCCGCCTTCGTATCTCTGCAGCTTCTCCTGACTGATCGGTGCTTCCAGGTTTTTCCTACGGTCTACGGAGAGCCTGAAGGCACCTGGTGGACCGCAGCCTGATCTGGAAGCTTCCTGCTGGCTGAGACCCGGCCGGCTGTGATGGACGGTCCAGAGAAACTCTCTGTGTCGTCAGTGAGGCCAGCTGTCTGCCCCCCCGCAGCCAGCGGTCCGCCTGTCGATCCCCTCCGCTCAGCGGGCTAATTAACTAAGTGCTGATCTTTCACTGCCTCTTTGTCCCGCCGTGGTGGGGGGGTGAGGGGGGAGTCAGAGGGTTAATTGTTCTGCTCCTTCCTGTGCGTCTCGGCTGCTGGGCTGGAAACTTTCTAACCGGTCCGACCCGAACTCCCCACGTCAGCGTTATTTTCAGCACCGCTCTGGGGAGAGGTCCGGTTCTGCTCCGCTCTCATAAAAGTCCAGGTCTGGACTTGGACTAGGCCGTCTGTTTTCCCCCGCATGGTTCTGTCCCAGACCCGCTGCTGAGTTCTGTTGATGACCCGGTTTGGTTTTCAGGTTGCAGCGGCGATGAATCCGGTAAAAATGTGTTTCATTTCCCCCAGAATCTTCAGCTTAGTCTATATATGTGGTTCTGACCCGGTTGTGAGCCTTTCTGTCTCCTATCTTGTTATGGTTCTGGAGAAACTGGACCTGAAAGTTCTGGTTTTGCCGTCAGAACCTTGCAGACCCATTAGGCCCAGTTTAAGCTCCACGGCCGTTTTCTCTGTGATCTGATTTGATCCGATTCGGCTTCAGACAGAACCGGATCAGAACCTCTCTGCACCGATCCTACACACACCGACCCAAACACGCTGCTGGTTCCGACGGTTCTGTCTGCGGGTCTAGAAGCCTCCAGACTTCCTCTTGGACAGAACCTCTGTTTGGGTTTTTGGGATCCGTCTTATGTAGAACTTTACAAAATGTAGAAAAGTTCTGGTTCTTCTCAGTCCAAGTCAGAACCACATTTTCAGCTCAAACCCAGAATGTTCCGGCTGAAACGGGTCAAACGACCCAAAAGTCCAGTTGAGTGAAACCTTTCTGGTTCTCATAGCTTCTGGTTTTGGATCAGCAGCCTTTAGGACCTGGACCGGGTCGGAGCTCAGACCCGGATCAGTCTAACAGCAGCCACTTCCTGCTTATAGTCCGTCCAGCATCCTCGGGTTCTGATGGGTCCGTTCTCTGGTGCTGCCGGTTCTGTCGGAGCGGTTCTGGATCGGAGGATAGTTCGGGATGTTTCGGGTCAGGTACTTGACTTGTTTCCGGACCCTGAATCCAGCAGGCATCAGGATCTGGTTCTGGTCCGGAGGTCTGGATGTCTCCATGTTTCCTTGTGGAAAATATTTAATGTCCAGCTGTTGGTTCTGGTTGGTTCCGGTTGGTTCCGGTTGGTTCTGGTCAGTGGGTCGACCCAGTAGTTGGTTCCTGTGAGTGTTGATTCTGCATAGAACCCAATAAAACCAGAACCCAGTTCAGTAGAAATTGTGGACTGGTTCTGATGGGGCAGACTGGACTGGGCCGGTGATCTGGACCTGGTTCTGGTTTAATGTTCATCCTGAATGCTCCTCATCATCATCCTCATCATCATCATCATCATCATCATCATCATCATCATCATGATGCTGATCTTCTTCATAACGGATCATTCAGCAGAACAGGCCAGAACCTCTTTGGACTTTCCTTTTCTTCACGCATTTATTAAAACATCTTTTATTTATTTATAACGTTTTCAGATATTTTTCCTAATTGGAGCTGAATTGAATTAATTGTAATGGTCTGGCTGTCGATTGCCACGTCTGCTAACGCTAATTGTCCTTCCTTACGGAAGGAAGCTTCCTGCTTCATTTGTCTTTCCTTANCCCCCAGAATCTTCAGCTTAGTCTATATATGTGGTTCTGACCCGGTTGTGAGCCTTTCTGTCTCCTATCTTGTTATGGTTCTGGAGAAACTGGACCTGAAGGTTCTGGTTTTGCCGTCAGAACCTTGCAGACCCATTAGGCCCAGTTTAAGCTCCACGGCCGTTTTCTCTGTGATCTGATTTGATCCGATTCAGCTTCAGACAGAACCGGATCAGAACCTCTCTGCACCGATCCTACACACACCGACCCAAACACGCTGCTGGTTCCGACGGTTCTGTCTGCGGGTCTAGAAGCCTCCAGACTTCCTCTTAGACAGAACCTCTGTTTGGGTTTTTGGGATCCGTCTTATGTAGAACTTTACAAAATGTAGAAAAGTTCTGGTTCTTCTCAGTCCAAGTCAGAACCACATTTTCAGCTCAAACCCAGAATGTTCCGGCTGAAACGGGTCAAACGACCCAAAAGTCCAGTTGAGTGAAACCTTTCTGGTTCTCATAGCTTCTGGTTTTGGATCAGCAGCCTTTAGGACCTGGACCGGGTCGGAGCTCAGACCCGGATCAGTCTAACAGCAGCCACTTCCTGCTTATAGTCCGTCCAGCATCCTCGGGTTCTGATGGGTCCGTTCTCTGGTGCTGCCGGTTCTGTCGGAGCGGTTCTGGATCGGAGGATAGTTCGGGATGTTTCGGGTCAGGTACTTGACTTGTTTCCGGACCCTGAATCCAGCAGGCATCAGGATCTGGTTCTGGTCCGGAGGTCTGGATGTCTCCATGTTTCCTTGTGGAAAATATTTAATGTCCAGCTGTTGGTTCTGGTTGGTTCCGGTTGGTTCCGGTTGGTTCTGGTCAGTGGGTCGACCCAGTAGTTGGTTCCTGTGAGTGTTGATTCTGCATAGAACCCAATAAAACCAGAACCCAGTTCAGTAGAAATTGTGGACTGGTTCTGATGGGGCAGACTGGACTGGGCCGGTGATCTGGACCTGGTTCTGGTTTAATGTTCATCCTGAATGCTCCTCATCATCATCCTCATCATCATCATCATCATCATCATCATCATCATCATCATGATGCTGATCTTCTTCATAACGGATCATTCAGCAGAACAGGCCAGAACCTCTTTGGACTTTCCTTTTCTTCACGCATTTATTAAAACATCTTTTATTTATTTATAACGTTTTCAGATATTTTTCCTAATTGGAGCTGAATTGAATTAATTGTAATGGTCTGGCTGTCGATTGCCACGTCTGCTAACGCTAATTGTCCTTCCTTACGGAAGGAAGCTTCCTGCTTCATTTGTCTTTCCTTACGGAAGGAAGCTTCCTGCTTCATTTGTCTTTCCTTATGGAAGGAAGCTTCCTGTTTCCTCTTCCTTTGACCTTCCCTATGGAAGCAAGCTTCCTGCTTCCTTTGTCCTTCCTTACGGTAGGAAGCTTCCTGCTTCCTCTTCCTTTGTCCTTCCTCACGGTTCCTCGCTGATGTCATGGCTTAAATCATAAACATAACGCAGAGAAGCTGTTCCTCGGCTCCATCGTGGAGCTTCTAACGTGTCACATGACTTTAACCCGTTATTCTGCTGTTACATAAATCCTGTTTCTGGACCCGCCAACATTGATAAAACCATAATTTTTTACATTAGATATATTTTTATTCTGCACCATCACAGACGTTCTGTGGAGGAATTATTTAGTAAAATGAGTCGTTTTGATGATAACCTTGTCTCTGTGACCTTTAACCCCCTCTAAGTGACTCGGACTCTCTGTGTCTCTGCAGACATGAACTCCTGAAGACGAGTCTCCATCAGACCTGCAGTCAGCTCTTCACTCCTCCATCCCTCCTCCTCTCTTCACCATGCCCCCCTCCTCTCTTTCCTCTCCTCTTCCTCTCCTTCCTCTTCTCTCCTTCCTCCTCTTGGTGCCGGCTCTTCCCACCCCTCCCTCCCCAGAGTCCCGCAGGGCGGACTACAAACCCCCCGACACTTCCTTCACCCACCTGACGGTCCACCAGAGGACGGGCGAGGTGTTTGTCGGCGCCGTCAACCGGGTCATCAAGCTGTCCCCCGACCTGGTGGAGCAGAAGAGTCATGTGACCGGACCGGTGGAAGACAACGCCAAGTGTTACCCGCCCCCCAGCGTCAGGGCGTGCGCTCACCGGTCAGTCTCCACCTGTCTGCCAGCTCACCTGGCTGCCTTTGCTTCTGCTGTCCTGTCTCACCTGTCCCCTGTGTCTCCGCCCCCAGGCTGGACTATACAGACAATGTGAACAAGCTCTTACTGGTGGATTATACTGGGGACAGACTGGTGGCGTGCGGCTCCATCTGGCAGGGGGTCTGCCAGTTCCTCAGGCTGGACGACCTCTTCAAGCTGGGAGAACCTCACCACCGGAAGGAGCACTACCTGTCTGGAGCCAAGGAGCCTGATGGGATGGCAGGTGAGCTGGGCTGCTGAGGGAGGGGGGCTAATCAACCCTCAGAGGGAGCGACAGGGCTGGTTCTAAAGACGGAACCACGGGATGGGTCCCTCTGGGCTTCAGGCTTCCTGAACTCCAAACACCTGAAGGACTGCTTCACCTTTACACTGAAACTGGGTCAGAACCTTTAGAACGGGAAAAAAAACAATCCAGATTTTAAATCTGAGGTTCTCCTTACTTAGAACCCTATAGAACCACAAATGTTCTGTATACGTAGAACCTTATAGAACCACAAACGTTCTGTATACGTAGAACCTTGTAGAACCACAAATGTTCTTTTTACGTAAA